CGAAAGAGGCAAAGTGAAATGGTTAAGAAACCCTACGGCCTCTTTTATTTCATGTTAATTTTAGGCTTTTTGATCACACTCCATTAAGATTGAACTGACTGACCAAGAGAGACTCGCATGAATCAAGATGATGTGAGTAAAAAAAAACTTAGTTTTCACGGGCAGGGTACACCCTATGCGGATTTACTTGGAGCAATGCCTCCCAAAAAAATTGAAGTCGGCTTTGAAAAGCTTGTGCAACTTATTTGTTTAGTTTTGTTCATGTACTGATGAGTGCAAAGTTGTGAGACTAGTACAAATTACAAATAGCGCACACGCTGTCAAAATTTCGTGTGTCTTTACTTTCGGTGATGCTTTTTTCTTGTTTATTATACCCATTTCGAAATCACTGGTGGTCCCTGTAATATGATTGGTTCTAATTGATGCGATTTATTCACGAATCGCACCATTTTTTGCTTTAAATCGCATCTTTTTCCGAGCCAATGAGGAGGCTAAACTAAAAACAAAACAACCAATCAGATTTTAAGGCTTGTTTAAAGTAACCGATCAAATTGCAGGAAAATGAAAGACAAAGAGTATCATGTGGCAATTTTGCAACTTTTGTTTCTTAACTCTTACTTATTCCCCCCAAAAAATGGACATGAATTTAATTTCAGATCGGCTCAGTACTGCATCAATAAAATATTTGAACTGACCAAGTCCTGTATTTAGGCGATTTCAAAATGGGTGTAATAAAGTGGTAATTGAATCTCTTCTCGTTCAATTTTGGTCTAAAATCATACTTGTGATTTCAAATCGAACGAGCACTGCGCGCTCGTTAGATTTTGAAATCACGCGTATGATTTAAGTCCAAATTGCGCTCCACTCAGTTCAGTTACCGTTATGAATAATTAACAATTATCACATAAACTGTGGTGTTATACAAGGATTTCCGGCCCTGAGAAAAGCCCTAACAACACGTGAAAAAATATCGCTCGCTGTGCTCACTCGTGAGCTATCGAGTTAAACACGAGAAGAGAAATTCCATATCCACGCACGCCCATGTATTATTCTCTATTTATAAAATGTTCAGAGAAATGCGCGCGCCGTGATTGATCAGAACGAGTTCATTATTTAACAAATAGAGAAGCCTCGACTGTGCTCTGTTCTGTTATAAAGCACGCAGGAAGTAGCTAGAGCACGAAATTGTGGGGAGAAACACGAGACGTAGTCGAGTGTTTCTCCCCACTTCTTGAGTACTCTAGCTGCTTCCTAAGTGCTTTATACATCGGCAGAAATATTGGACAAGATGGCGGCCACGCTTGCGCATTTCGTCCATAATGGCGTCCAAATAATATAAGAAACTGTATGGAAATTTGTAAAATTTCTAAAATATAACAATCAGGAGCTCATGGTCCCGTCTGCTCTCGATCGAGACATATTCAGTACTGATTCTGCTATTCATCAAACCTCACAGGGACTCCATAAATAAAAACCACTTACTTCCCGAGCCAGTTCTTTTGTCATTGATTATTGACCCAGGTCGCCATACAGTTCTTCAAAATCCGTCGTTCTCCATCCCAAACACTCGCCTATTACAGGAAAGTGCATCAATAAAGTCAACTGCTCTCGATCGAATTGACTGCTACAGAGTTCGAAGCGCCCAAATATCCTGGAAAATTGCCATTTCCTCCCATCAAAAAAGTTCCCAACGCGCCAGAATATCCCTTATTTTCCATGTTGAGTAAGTGACGAGACGCCATGTTGAAAACTATGACTGAAATAGTTAAACACGAGCAACGCTGATCTTCGAATCGTCGGCCATATTTGTTTATGTTCTTGCAGGGAAATAAATTAGTTCTCGGTCCTTTTCGGAATAAAAATATGCCAGGCATTGAATGCAAATTCAGTAGTCTTAGCGCGAAAATTAAATTAAAGCAAATCAAAATTCTGACATCATGTCATCGCTCTGCCTCGAAAAATCCCAAAGATTTACTTGCAGGTCTTCTTTTCTTTTTCTTTTCATCAAATAGAAGATCTGCGGTGCTCAAATTGTATAAGTCATGGTACGAAACACTCTTCTTTGCAGATCGAGCCGTGATCGCCGGCATATTGAATTCTCTTGATATTCTATTGTTCCGGAGTGTAATACGATATACCGCTGATAATTGTTAGCGGGCTCGAAATGTCCTTGATTTCTGGCGATGAACAGAACAGAGCACAGTCAAGGCTTTTCTATTTGTTTTATAATAAAGAATCTGTTAAATTCCCTAAGCATTACTTTCAATTTTCAAAACAAACTTTATTTCCAATGCGAACAACAATGTCGTCAGCATGCTCTATACTCTCATAAAGCACGCTACAACAAGCCAATCAGAATCCCTGTTAGAATGGTTCAAATAATCTAATTGGCTGTACAAGACTAAAGCTGTCAAAAGTGTCAAACCATCAAAGTTCATAACCATCAAAGTTCACATTCTGCGATAGTTTACAAACTAAAATAGGTTGGCAGGTCGAATTTAACACTTTCGCCTGAAGTTTTTAAGTCTCTAATACAGAATCTTGAAGTGAAATGTTCAGTGAACTTCAGCCGAATTATGGCACATAAAAACACGCGAGTTTTTTTCACATGACAAGGTAGAAAACAAACTGTGCAACTCCAAGGCAAGTGTTTTTTGAATGAACGACAGCCGAATTCACTGGAACATGAAGATCGCTCGGGATGACAGCGCCGCAAAACTCGGCTGCAGTGACTGATGTGACTTTCCACTCAACGCATCGGAAAGGATATCAGAGCAAGCTCTTATTTTTTCACTCGAAGGGCGGCCGATGTAGTTTCTGAGGCTTGCTTTTCTGTGATGACCGGAGATCGCCATGATGAGCGAGACGCGATGGACTTTTGCATGATCATATTCGCTCAGACACCGTCATGATTAGTATGAATTTTTAACAGTTATGCCAGTTTGGTTATATTTTTCATCAATTCTGTTTTGTTCTGTTTTGTTTTTGAACATTGAACTTTATATACTATATGAGTATTAGCTGTGTTTGATTTTTATTACCGTACGTAAGTAAGCTTGCAATCTAACTGAGCGTGAAATTCTTTAAAACTCGGCAGCGTCTATTTTGTTTTTCCTTTGAGGATTTTCGTATCTGCTCACATTTTAATAACGTAAATTACGGCGCCTGGTATGTTTACAAACCTTTGTTTAGTTCTTCTGTTGCTACTTACTGGCTCGCTTGTTCCGAAATTTCACTTTCAATTATCGGAAAAAAGCTAAAAAGAAGTCCCGGAAAAGGTCGAACATAGTACAATTTGGCAGATGGCGTGACAGCTTTAGCTCAGCTCTATGCTCTATACTCTCATAGAGCACGCTCTTTCAGCCAATGACAGCGCGCTTTATATCCGAACTTTATTATAAATTTCCATAAAGCGCGCGCCTTACGTCACACGAGTGCATTGTTGAGATACAATGCACGCACGGTACCTCATCGGTACGAGCGCGCGCAATTCACGATACATTTTATAAAAGAAGTAAACAAACTTGTTCCTCGAGTATTGTTGAGTTATATAAGCACTTAGGAATTTTTAAGAACACTCGAGAAGTACGAGAAGCAATCGTCCTCGGTTCTTCTCCGCACCTCTCTCATGTTCTTAAAAATTCCCGCGTGCCTATAGAACTCGACAATGCACTCGGCGTTTTTTTTTAAAATTTTTTAGTTATAGCACGATCACTCGTGTCATTTAGTGTGAATAATAAGACTACAAATTGCGCTTGCCGCGCAGACTCGTGTAATTTTGTTGCCTTTGAAAAATTTACTCATACTTAATGACACCAAATTGAACTCGAAATAATATTATTTCCTCTATAATAATATAGATGGAAAAATTACTCAGTTCTGATTGGTTAAGATAAATGCAGTTTTCAGGTAATTCAGTGCAGAAGAGAGTTAATTCAGTGCAGAAGAGGGTTAATTCAGTGCAAAGAAAGAAACAAATCAGACATTCTGATTGGTCAATAATCAAAGAAACTCACAGATAATTTAGTGTTGACAACTGGGTTGAAAACGTAAATTAACCACCGTAAAGGGTAAAAAAGCTGACGTTTCGAGCGTTAGCCCTTCGTCAGAGCGATTAGAGGAATTGTGGGTTGTGTGTGGATTTATATGTAGGAACATAAACATAACACTGCTGTATTAACTGTATTAACCAGCTTTTTGCTCTGTTGAGTAGGTCGAGTTGGTGTGGTGTCGCGAAAATCAAATGACGGCGTCCACCAACCTAGTAAGAAAAGGAATGCCAAAATTAACCTACTGTAAACTGCCGTATAATGATTACAACACTGCTTTGCGTTGTGAAACTGTAAAACGGTTTACGGATGGTTTTAGGATTTAATAAGTAAATTAATCTATTGAGCAAACGGCTGAAACGGATTCTATAAAGATTTTGTGTTGTGAAATTGCAAAAACAATAAAAAACGGGTGGTGATTTTAAGTTATAAAATCAGTTACTAACTGTTTCTCGAATAACCTTTTTGTTTGTTGAATAACTTATTTGGTTTTGTATGTGCTAATAGTGTTAACATTCATTTTACTTACTCTAACATCATTCCTGAAGAAGTTGTCGGGGACGTGCTCCAGTTCCAACTCGAACTCAAGGTCACGCGGTTCTGTGGGGCGGAGTTTCTGACGAAGGCGGTTCGCGTTTCTGGCCAGATGCGCTGGTTTCGGTAGACCCGGACATGGAACATCGGGAAGCTCTTCTAGTAGGACCTGGTTTACTATGGCGGATGCGGGTTTGAAGTACTCGACCTCTGCCTCCTTGCGTACGCGGGACACAATCTTCGCTGCAACCTCGGCGCCAACCTGCCCGTTGTGGTTGTGCTGCTGTCTGCCTGGGATGAACTGGCCACTACGTTCAATAACAGTTGCCCTACAGGGGTTGATCTAATAAAACAAAAAAGAGATAGAATCAAATTAGATGGCAATTCAACAGAAACGTTATTCGTTTTCTGTTCGTTTTAAGGAAAAAAGATATTTACCTTAGGCCGTACTGTGCACTGCCAATGCGTAGCGCCAACACACTGCCTCTTAACGTTGTATGTGTAGCCGTCGTTATCGACCAGCTTTCGTTTCCTCTTCAACGTGGCATCGTCAATGATAGTGAATGTAAGCTGGTTCGGCTGCTGGACAATCTCCGCAGGGTCCGGGTCATCAAGCGATAGCTCAACCGCTACGGGGGACGCTTCAGTCGGTGACACTGGCAGAGGCGAGGATGTAGGCGAAGGTGCTGTGGGTGACACTGGCGTAGGTGATGTTGGTATTGGTGATGATGGAGGCGGTGAGTCTGGGACTGCAACTGAGTCGTACTCTTGCTCAGATGTCAACTCGGCGCATGCAGCACACAACCAGTCGATTTCAACGCCGTCTCTAACTGCGGTACGGTAAGCTTCTTGAGAGATACCTGTGGATTTAAAGCAAGATTGTTAAATTTGGTCTTTCTATGTGTAATAAATATATAATAAGAAACAGGTGAAATGGAAGTTTACTTACCAGTATTACAGAGTCGATGGTTCCATCGTAAACAGCCGTCGCACTGAACCCCCTGCTGTCTTGGACGAACAGGTTCGTCACAAACAATACAGTTAATTAATTGAGCAGATGCCATAGTTGAAACTCGTAGAACGTAGTGAATAATTTTTGAACTCGAATGTCGCAGTGTAGTGATCGAATGAAAGAATGAGTCCATATTGAAGTTTTTTTTTCCTTTTATACAGGGCAGTAGGATCCAAAAGTCATTTGTGTTAGTTTTAAGTGATTTGATTGGCTTGTTTATTTTACTTAAACAATACAGTTAAATAAACAATTCTTTTTACCAAACAATCAGATTTGGCACCTATTGATATGTTAATTTAACTAGCCCGCCCACCCACGCGCCAGAAAATGACTGTTTCCTCATAGGTCCGTTAAATTAAGAGACGCCATTAGTGATCCTTAATTGTTTCTTTTCCATGAATTTTTTTCATGCTTACTCAATAAACGTAGACTCGTTTACGTGCTCTAACTGTCGAGGAGATTTGGGTACTATTTTATTGCAAAATTTTAACACGTTTGTGTTATCCGCGCATTGTATTCCATAAGTCGTTTAAGTTAATCGATCGATGAATAGATTACAAACTTTTATTTCATAAGCGAAGTTACTTTTTACAAGCCGCTCGCTCAAGTTACATCGAGTTACATCGTAATAATCTTACAAACTTTTCCTTCGATCCATCGATATTAAAATCTTACAGCAGTGTTATGTTTATGTTATATAAAGTCGATCGTTCGCGTGAAGTTACTTTTTACAAGCCGCTCGCTCGAGTTACATCCTAATAATCTTACAAACTTTTCCTTCGATCGATCGATAAATCTATTACATTCGTTTTGACCGTACGCGGTTGTTTTGACCGAATGCAAGGTTTGAATGAATTATTTTTTGCACTTGATGCGCTCGCTTTGCTTAATTAATTATGATAAGCCATCTCGTATTTTTACATGTATATTATTAATACGTAATCACATGATTTTTCTCGTGCAATTTGGAATAAACAAGCACTTGTTAATTTTTTCAAAGACCACAAATTGCACTCGTGCAATTTTGTTAGTCTTTAAAAAAATTTACTCGTGCTTATTTATTCCAAATTGCACTCGAAATCATGTGATTACGTATACAAAATGCACATTCTAATAACTCTGTTGTAACCCTTAACATTACTTTCGACGAGGACAGTCCTTCGCGTGGACCAGGGTTCTGGAAGTTTAATAATTCGTTATCACTCCATACCGACTATGTTGAAATATTAACATTTAAATTTTCTAAATTTGTTACCTAGCAATTTGTTCAAATTTGTTACCTAGTAAAACGCATACAAATAATATATAGATTTAGCCAAGCCTAAAACGGGCCTCTTGTTAGTTTATTTTCCAGCCCTTTGCTATACTGAATAAAAACTGTAATAAAAGTCTTCAGCACTGGCTGTAGAAGAGTATCTTCAATGGATTGAAAGACCAGTTCGGGGGGTGGGGAGGTGGGGAAGAATTGATGAAGTCTGGATCTGGGGACGATGTTCTCACAACTACACACATGCTAGTCAGCGGTATCTTCAGACAGCTTACGACTTTCATCGTTGTTCTTTTTTGTTGTGACTAGATTTTTGAAGATAGGGAGTGTTTTCTTCTTCAGATGAAGTGCATGCTGTCAGCATCAGTTGAAATTGTATCCTATTGAGCGTGACTTATAATTTCGGTTTGGGAAAATGAGCCAAAATTGAAAGAAACGACAGTAAACCACTTTGCGTTGAGACATTCCTGGTGGATTGAGGTGTATACGTGCAGTGAGCACGGTAAGTCAGTAAAACTATACGCCAGAACGGTATGGGCTTCTCTTATATCTTCTCTTGAAGTTGCCAGGTATGAGTGCTTACCCCACCGTTTTTCCCCAACGTTTCAACCTCCTTGAAAATTGAAAAAAAAGTAATTTCAACTCGTGTTTGAACCTGTGTAATTTTTGAAAACTTTTTCGCTTTGGCTTCTCTTGTTTCATGTTTCATGATTGTCCTCTGGCTGGAAATAAACGACGTCTTTTTGAGATTTTTTCTGTTAGTTAATTCGATAACCTCTGCTGTAACTGCATGTAATGTGGGTGTCTTTTAGAAAACTTGAGCTGATACCTGGATTTCATTTTTACATCACAGAAATCAATTCCAAACATCAATCAAGTTTTCTCTTAAGTTTAGAAGTTGAGTTGATGTTGTTATTGGCTATATTAAATAGGTTGAAAAGTTTTAGATGGTATTTTCTTAGCCACGACACCAAATAATAACAAAGGGATGACAGTCAGTTTTTGCTTGTATATTATTAACTAGTAATACGTAATTTTTCTCGTGCAATTTTTCAAACACGAAAAATTGCACCCGCCCGTAATTTGGTTAGCCTTTAAAAATTTACTCGAGCAGATCTATTCCAAATTGCACTCGAAATCAAGTGATTACCTGCCAACCACACACTAAATAAACCAATTGAGATGTTGGAGAAAACGACAAAAGTTTGTTTACAGTTTTCTCTCGTTCTCTCAACATCTCAAGTACAGTATTCACGGCGAAAAAAATCTACCTTTTAGATTAAGATCTTTCATATGGTATATTTCACTCTTCTTGTTATTGTTCGGCCTTAAACCGTCTCATTATTATAGGAAAATGTCATCTATTTGTAAACGGTAAAAACAGATTCCAGTCTAGCCACCTAATCTCCTTAAATTGCTACAAATGATCACTAAAAAAACACTTTGCATTTAAATCAGGTGAAAAAGATAAATTTAATGAAAGAGGGATTTTTTTTTTCCAAAATATTTACTAGTTACTTTCCGATGAGTGCTTCTGTTTTTCATTTTGTTTATACATCTGTCATTAATTTTCTAAAGCAAAGTAAGATTTGGTTTGATTTTGATTTTTGTTTATGCTTTAATGTAGTGTATTGCAATGTATTAGGACAATGGCACGTATTGCAAGGTAAGATAACATAGTGAAAAAAATATCAATTCAGTGAGTAATGTTAGTATTGTAAGTACTATGGTGAAGTTAGTGGCGTAAGTAATTGTAACAATGTAAACATAAAATAAGATTTGAAAAATAATGGAAAAAGGGGGGCTCCCAACCCAATTAAATTCGCAATCGTTTTAAAGGTTCACTTTAATTCACTCATTCCTTTCATTTTTCTGCAAGGCAGTTTCACTCTCTGTGACTAACAAGTGGAGCAAATGGAACAACAAAATTTTCCGTACAATGTTTTTCGAGGGTCTTTCACATAATTAAATCAGTGGAAAATATTGGTGGACTGGTTGGAGGAACACTCTAGAGAGCATACCGTCCTGATTTGCTTATTTTTGGGGTTTTTTTTTTCGGCCAAAAAAATTGATATTAAAAAAATAAATTGCGCTGGTACGGCGTTCTTTCATGAGTTTTCATAAGCTCCTGTTTTCAAGAAATCAAAGTGATTTCTATTTTTCATGGCATAGGGTAAAATATGGACTGGACCATTTTTTGGACCATTTTTGGACCACTTCTTGGATCATTTTTTGGACCAATTTTTTGGACCATTTTAAAGGGGAGGAACACATCATTAGTATTGAGGGAGGGGTGGGATGAAGTCTTTGAGTACTGAGGGAGGGGTGGGAGACAGAGTGTTATTACCCAGGGAGGGGCGAGAGACGGACTATTACTACGCAGGGAGGGGTGAACGTCGTAGAACGACTCTTCTAAAGAGTTGCTTGATCACCACAAATGAAGCAGGAAGGAGTGGATATGAAGTCAGGAAGTTGCAAGCAGAAGACAGAAGCCTTTAACCCTTTAACTCCCAGATCAAATTTGTCATTCTCCTCACTGTCAACCACACAATTCTTACGATGTTAGTTGGGAGAATTTAGTATTGGATCAACTTATTATCCCTAAATTGATATTTTTCTTTATTCACATAACTTATCTGGTTGATATTGTATTGTAAGGAGAAATTCTGTCTTGGTCACTCATGGGAGTTAAAGGGTTAAGGAGATGTTGAAAATGAACTTTGAGACAACCTACAAAATTTTGACAACTATTTTACCCCTCTTATGATTTTCCATTTCAGTTTGAGCCTATTTTTGGCAAAACCACTGACTGAAAAACTAGTTGATTATAGTTTGAGTTCAAATGTGCACCATAGTTAGTTACTATCATTGTCTATCTGTACCATTTCTATAGGGCTTTACAGTAGATCAGTGTATATGTGTTGAACATGATATATTTACTTCATTTGAGATACATTTTTGTTTCAATGTGTTGGTGTTGAACCCCATGTTCCTTCTACTTCTACTGAGTGCTATAGTCAGGCCTGAAATTATACTTCGGTTCATTTCCCCAAGGACATTGTGAGACAGTTTTGTGAATTCCCTGAGAATGATTTATCATCTGTGGATACTAAGCCCACTGCTCCTCATACTTCCTAACCAAACACAGTATGAGTTTAGGAGTATTTCAGCTTTCTCTGGGAACAACATATGCTTTGTGGTGTATCAAATTGAAAAGGGGATATTTAAAAGTTTTTGCCATAGTGCCTGGTAGTGCATGATTTAAATTGCCTTGCATTGTGTCATACTGAAGAGAGTCACTGTCAATGGTTTTTGATATTTTGTTACTCAAAGGAAATACGAAAGAAGAGACAAAAAAAACAAAATAATTGAAGATGTAAAAAAAAGAAGAAAAAAAAAAAGAAGTGAAGAATGTTTATAAAAGCCACTTTGAAGCATTCATCTTAACTTTGTCAGTCATGAGTTATGATAGTTGTGTTTTGAAGCTAGTTTTGCCAAAGAGACCTCCTATTGATTATCAGGGATAGTGGAGGGCATATTTATTTACTTAGTAACACTTCAAACCTGCCCCCATGCTGACACATCCCCATTTTTTCCAAAAACATTTCTTCCCAGTAAGGGTTTGACTGACATTGGAAAATATGAAAATTTTGTAACAAGATTTAGAATTTACTTTTGTCCTTTCAAATTTTCAGGAATGTGGCTGACATCTGGAGGATCAATTGCGTATTACTTCGTAATAATAACTCATAATAATTACTGACATTTTGATGAAAAATCTTTTT